GCGTTTTTGTCTGGGACCATTTGTGTATGGGGTAATTGCTTGAAGTGTGTTGTATGTATGGGGGTCTGCCTGTGACCTTTGTGCATTGTGTTTATGGCAAAGCTATGTTTCATGACTGTGTGTGTATGATGAATGTCTTCAGCTGGTGACTGTAACACAGTGAGTAATGGGGTACCAGTGACAGGAAGAGTGTGACAGGGGGTAAATGGGACCGGGTGGGGGGTTGTGAGAGGGAGGGGAGTATGATATGGTTTGAGGAGGGAGTGTGACAGGGCGAGTGGAGGTAAGTGTGTCAGGGCAATTGTGGCATAATAGGAGGGACGAGTGTGAATTTGAGGGGTTACTATGACAGGGTAAGTGTGGAGTGATACTGTGTGAGGGGGTTACACAGTGCGTGTGGGGCAATGATACTGTATGTGAGGGGGGGTGATACTGTGTGGGAGGTGGGTGATAATGTGAGGGAAGGAAATTATACAGTGTGTGACAGTGGGGTGATACTGTGAGGGAGGGGGTGATAGTGTGTGGGAGGGGGTGAGATAGTGTGAGGAAGGGTTAATACTGTGAGGGAGGGGGTTGATAGGGTGTGGGTGGGGAGAATACTGTGAGGGAGGGGGGTGAGACTAATTACCTTTTTTCGCTCCCTGGTAGTCTGGTTGGCTCTTTGGTGGTCCGGTTGCCATGATCAGGGCCGCCATCAGGGGGTGACAACCATGACGGTTGTCACAGGCCCAGTGGCCCTAGGGGGCCCATCCGCCCGGGACCCACGTATAGCGGCTGAACTGCCGCCGGTGCAGTTGCACCGGGGCCCGCATGCTGTTGGGGGCCTATGGGGTGGCCCACTCACTTAGGGCCACCCGATGGGCCCTATATCTTCAGGGGCCCGGTCAGCGCTGCGGCCGTGCAATAGCGTGACCGGGCCCCTTTAAAAAAAAACGCAGCCGCAAAGTACTGCTGGGAGGAAGCGCTGCGCGGGAGGGAAGAAAGCCAGGCCGCAGGGGCCACAGCCTTCCACCTGCAAAAAAAAAGGTAAGCAAAATTAGCTGTATTTCTGTATGTTAGTATGTATCTATGTATGTATGTCAGTGTGTATGTCAGTGTGTATGTATGTCAGTATGTATGTGTGTGTGTGTCAGTATGTCATTGGTTGATTGATTGGTTGTATCCTGATATTTCAAAGTATGGGTTTTTGTATCATTTTCATTTCATATTGAGACATTTACTAAAAGGTAACTTAGAATAGTTTCTGAATATGGCATTCTTTGCATGTGCACTATTTACGTATTATGTCTTTACTCGTCAAGGTTAGTATTGCGCATGCGCTATGTGGCGCATGCGCGATACAGTTATGCCCCATTGCGCATGCGCAGCACTGTGATGCCCGGTTACGCGGGCATCGTCTCACACTTTTATTGCTCGATGGGATATGATCATGTGACTTACGCAGTCAGTCGCGTTTTATAAGCTAGACGTGATCACATGGTTAAATCCATGTGACCAAACCCGGAAATGTGAGTACTCAGTTCTCTTTTTTCCTAAATTCATTAAAAGTAATTTGAAACAAGTAATGTATAATTAAACAATTTAATGTCATTATAATGGAACTCAGTTCCAATTGGCTGTGTTATTCTGTGCTTTCTAACACCCCTTATATGTGAGATTATGATTGGAGAGACTATCATGTTTTTTTTATTATTGGATTGATTTTTTAATTATTGGATTGATTATGTTACTAATTAATTGTAATTAAATCACATGTTTTTCCATTTTGTAATGGTTACATACACCTATATATTATTTGTGCTGTGTGTGCTTTATCAGCTTGACAAAGGCCCTTAAGGGTCGAAACGTTGCTTTTTGGTTTCTTGTTCCAATAAAAATTGCCTCTACTTTGGAATTTGCTGGAGTGCCTGCATTACTTTCTATATTTAATTATATATGTATGTATGTCAGTATGTGTGTGTGTGTATTTATGTTCTTATGCGTGTCTATGCAGTGTGCATAGGAATTCGTTCATATTGTTTATTGTCCAGCCCCCAACAGTGTCTGAGGTACCGTGAACTGGCCCCCTGTTTAAAAATTTTGAGGAATCTGTCATTATGTATGTATGTATATATGTATGTATGTCATTATGAATGTATGTCTGTATGTATGCATGTATGTCAGTATGAATGTATGTCTGCATGACATTATGAACGTATGTCTGTGTGTATGTGTGTATGGATGTCAGTATGCATGTATGTCAGTATGTATGTATGTATGTCTGTCAGTATGTCGGTATATATGCATGTAGAAGAGCGAGGGCTGGTAATTGTGGTCTGGATGGAGAGGGTGAGAGCCACAAGATTAGGAGAGGTTAATGTGAGCAAGGCTGGGTGAAGGGGGCATGACAGCATGTGGGGGGTGGCTGTATGTGTGTGGTATTGTGACGTGGGTAGGTGAGAGTGTGGGAGGCAGTGTTGGAAAGGGTGACAGTGTGTGCAGGGGCAGTGTGTGGGAGGGGTGACTGTATGTATTGGTGACAGTGTTGGGGGCTGACAATATGGGGTGCAAGTGTGTGAAAGGGTAACAGGGTGAAAAAGCAGTGTGGAGGAATGTGACAGTTTTGGGGGCAGGGTGTGAGTGGGTGACAGTGAGGAGGAAGATGACAGTGTGGGGTAGCAGTGTGGAGGATGGTGACCGTGTGGGGGGCAGTGTGTTACAGTGTGGGAGGGCAAGGTGTGTGGGACACAGTGTAGTGAGGGCAGGGTGTGTGACAGCATGAGGGGGCAGTGTGTATGACAGTTTAGGAGGGCAGGGTGTGTGACCATGTTCGTGGCAGAGTGTGTGGGAGACAGTGTGGGGGGCAGGGTATGTGGTGGTCACTGTGGGGGGCAGGTTATGTGGTGGTCAATGTGGGGGGCAGGTTATGTGGTGGTCACTGTGGGGGGCAGGTTATGTGGTGGTCAATGTGGGGGGCAGGTTATGTGGGGTCAGGGTATTTGGTGGTCATTGTGGGGGACAGTGTCTATGGTGGTCAGTGTGGGGGACAGTGTCTGTGGTGGTTAGTGTGGGGGCAGTGTATGTGGCGGTTAGTGTGGTGGTCAGTGTATGTGGTGGTCAGTGTGGTCATCAGTGTGGGGGGCAGTGTATGTGATGGTCAGTGTGGGGGCAGTGTATGTGGTGGTCATCAGTGTGGGGGGCAGTATATGTGGTGGCAGGGCAATGTGGGGGGCAGCGTATG